GTGAAGGGTCGAGTGTATGCCGCGATAGTTCGTCCAGTTCTGCTATACGGTGCAGAAACTTGGCCATTAAGAAAACAAGATAAAGACAGACTGTCGGTGTTTGAACACCGCTGTCTACGCAGCATCGCACGAATCTGGTGGGGTAGCCGGATGAGCAATGCTGAGGTTAGGGACAGAGTTTTGGTAAATACGGTCGCCCACTGGAGCAAGTAATCGACCTCCATAGATTACGTTGGCTGGGACATGTGCTACGCATGTCACCAGGTAGGTTACCACGGCGAGCGATGTTCGCCGAAGAAGATACAGAGTGGAAAAAAGCCAAGGGTGGTCAAGTTAAGACCTGGCACGAGGGTAGGAAAACCCTAACCAGGAAACTGGATCACATAGGTCCTGTTAGGCTCCCTGGCTGGGGACCTCGGGATGATCGTAACCGATGGTTAGAGACACTGAGCGATATGGCTGGGTGTCGTAAACAGTGGCGTTCGTGCATCTCAATTTCTTCCCAACCTTAGTCCACTGAACTTCTCCATTTTCTTTTCGTATCCACTTTCAACTTTCCTTTCTTCTCCTATTTTTCATCCAAATGGGCAGCCAAAAGACAGCAACCAAAACCGGCGCACGAAAGTGCATGGTTAATGGTTGTTCAATCTGAAACTGAAACAACTTGTCAAATGCTAATCGAGCCTTGTGTATGCGCGCCGACACTTCATCCGTGATGCATCCAACGGGTGAGATATAGCTGCCAAAATACAAAATTGTTCTTTTTCCGCTCTACCACTTCTTCAGTTGGAGTGAGGTTGGCCAGTGAGCCAACCCAGTTTTTTGGAAATGTTTTACACTGTGAAGGTGCAAAACGCATACCAAAAATGCATGGCTACAGTAACATTCAAGCTATCCAGAAACGTTTGTAATTCGCCCGGATGTTCACTTATCAGTACAGTATCGTCTGCATACTCCAGGTCAGAAAGTCTGCCACCTGAGATAATCTAATTCCTGGGTAAACTTCATTTCAGATGAATGACTGATATCTACTTGCAGTCTTTGTCCAGTTGAAGGTGAATGATAGGGTTGAAAACTAACGAGCTATTGTGTCCATTGGGCATCAACCACCGTTTTGGTCTCTATCACTTACGCAACTTTCACCTGTGGATCCAAACATCTGAGATGCGCGCCACTGGCTATTCCGCTGCAATGCCCTCGTAGGCCAGTTAAACTATGCGGGGGGAAACCAAGGTGTTAATACTCACACGAAAGGTATATGTCTTGCAAAACCAGCTAATCCTAACCGGGCGGATAAAAACTGCTCGCTGATCTAAGCATCACAGAATAACTCGCCTGAGTGAATCTCTGGGCCACGAGCACACAAGTCACATGGTGAGTGAGCTCCTAGTAAGCCACCGGCAACAATGACCCAATAAACTGCTGTCTAGCATTCCGTACGAGCTGTGCAAAAACCTGATATATGCCACTGAAGCAGTATGCAATGTGTTTAACCACATAGTATTCAATGTACCTTTACAACTTACAGGTCAGATGCTACTATACAATAATCCGACTGCTAGATCAATTAAAACAGGCACTGAAAATCTAGACCCACTTCCAACAGCAAAAATATCAACGCACATGATCTATAGATACCACAAATCATCTTATTCAGTGCTAAGCAAAGAATCTCGAAATTTCACTTACCACCTAAACTTTTATAACTACTATGAAATAGTGTCTCAGTGTTGACCTCTCAAATGAATTTCCATTCTGCAATCACTTTTCTTTTGGGGTACAGGCATGACTTAAAAGAACTGTTAGAAGCTTCTGCTTCTAGTTTTGTACTCTCAGCGTGGTGATAATCAAAAACAGGTGTTTCTGAAATTTATAACCAAAATGTTTGAAAACGATGCACAATCTAAGTAGGAAGTTTTATGCATAAAGAAAATTTAACTAACCGATTCTCGTCTCTCCTAGTTTCATTACAGTAGTGGCCGATTGTGATGGGCTAAAATATTTCTTCCTGACTAAATTCACCTTCATTACATTTATCCCCTATTTTAATGCTCTAGATAGGAACACTAAGTTATCCCTTGCTTACTTCGATCTACGTAGTTCCTAGGCTGCATGATTGTTAATTAAATGTGCATAAAAGATAAAACAATCGAAATACCTCGTAAACGGATGTGACCATTCTAACCACATTAACTTGTACAATCACAAAAAGCAAAAATAGTGTTTAAATAATATTTAATTTAGCAGCAAATATGGGGCAGTGATTCAAAAAAATAACAAAAGTCAGCACCAAAAACAACAACAAATAAAAATCACAGAGAACCCTCCAAATAAATAATTAAATGCTGTCGGTAAGCAAAACCAATGGTTTGCGCTGCATAGCGAACGAGTGAAAATTCACTTGCTACGGTTCGAGGGGAAAACGCAGGGCTCTTGGTCCATCAGGCTACGAAAAGCGAACACAAGCTGGCCAACATTAGGGCCATAGCGCTGATAAACAAACTTGTACCCAGCTTGTCTAATTCGGGATTGAACGATACATTGGAAGACCGAGGAAAGTTAAGTGTCCATTCGGGATGACTTTGATTATCAAGTAAGGGACAAAGAATGCCAATTGTTTCTTGATAGATCGGAGTCAGACCGGGAAACGGAATCAGGTCGTCTAAAAGGCGTAAAAGAAACGGAACTAGTTGTTTCTCTATAGATGGCAAATATTTCGGCCAGCCCCGTGTGATCACCTGATCAATTAAAGCAATCAACTGACTCGTGGTCAGCTGATTCAGTCTGTTCAGCGCGATCGATGCATTGGACACGAGCATGCGAACAGGGGCAATTAACTCCTTGTTTTGATCAATTCTCACCAAATTTTCTCTTGCAATACGATAACTCTGAGAGTAGGTTTTATAGTATTTCTCCACATCCACGAATTCGTTCGCCAGTGTTCTGGACTCGTTTGTGTCAATTTGTAGGAGAACTTTACGTAGCTCGACGACATAAGCTGGACCCGGATCATTCAAATAACTGTTCAAAGAGGCCACATTCAAATGATCGAAGGACTTTTCTAGTTGCATGGATTTCACCACCTGATTGAAAATCTGCTCCAGTTGAATTTTCGGTAGCCTTGATGCCACATCTACTTGTTCTAGCTTCTCGCGAACGTCTTTGTGCCAAAGATAGTTTAGTGTTTGGTTGAACCAGGTTGAGTGCAATAACGCAGAGAAATTGACTGGCGGATTTAAGTGCAAACTTGGCAGAAGCGGCATTTGTCCTGGGCGGTAATCGGAACCAAACGTTTTCAATATGGGATACGGTATCTCTAGATTGAGATACGGTGTCTCCAGGAGGGATTTCAATTTGTCTAGATTTTGCAGCAACTTAGACAGGCCAGTAGTCAATTTGATATCTGCCACATTCTGGGCCGGACCAGGAAACATATATAGGCATGTCTCATTCTGAATTAAGGCAGAGACGTAGACAATACTTGTACCTACGATGACCAATACGAGGCAGATTAGCATGACTAGAATCCAGGTGAACCAACGCAAGAAGCGACAACTACGTTCGCAAGATGAACTTGCTGTCTTGGTTGTTCTCATCGTGCTAAATGATGAACTGTGCGAGGTGGGGGACTGATAGCACTCATCCTGCCAGTCGTGATACTGGACACAGGCACGGAAAATGAAGTAACATGTGACAGAGAGCAATAGAAGACCAGAGGCCACGAGTATTGTAAAAGTAATGATCATCATACTGGCGTAAACACGCGTGTAGCGATTAAATTGTTCAACCACTTCATAGGGTGGTGTAGTGGCTGTGATCTCGCTCAACTTGGTCTTCAATCGATTTATTTCCGGGACAAGATAAGTTTGCAGAAGGAATAAGACACCTTGACCAGGTAAATCGGTGACAACTGGCAACCAGTCTTTTACCAATTTTTCTGCATGAAAGACTCGTGGCATAGATGCAAACTGAATAACAGATTCTAAACTTTTCGAGGGAAGCATTGTGGGTAGCGCGTTGACGTAATTGACAAATGAGTGAAGATACGTGCTCACTTGTTCACATGATGTAAAGATGAGTGTATGGGACAAATGCGAACATATTGTATGGTAGATTCGTGACACCAAAACAGATGAGCTCCACGAATCATTTGCTGAAATCTGTTCACTCCATGTGGATCGAAAGGGAACAATTCGACTCAAACCTTGACGATACTCATACCATGCACGTTCCGTGATTTGAATGGTCTGGCTGTTTAGTGCCACAGATGCTTCTGACAGAGCGGTTAATCGAGATAACACAATGTTGAAAGTAGCGAGGAGCGAATCAGCCAGTATTTCATTTGAAGTGTTAGTTGATACCTGAGGAAACAATATAATCGCCTCATTTGAGACATTCTGATTGCTCATACACGGGTCTATCAAGCACGCCACGGCTTCTGAGCCTAGTTGTTTTGCACGATCAACCAGGTAGTGCAAATGGCTTTGGTTATCGATTCGTGCAGCGTCGTTCCGAATGTGTACGCGAATCATGTCGTAGGTGGAATCCAAACAGTTTTCCAAAAATCTCTCCGCCTGTATTGTGATCACATGTCCTCGCTCGGGCAGAGCATTCAGAGCTTCAGTGATCACGTGATCCGTCCGAATAGCTACAATCAGGCTGGTGACATGAGCGGTCATGCAAATGGCAAAGAATGCAGCTACAACGGAGAGAATAACCACACGTTGACGATGACTTTTACTGTTGACATGACTGGAAACATTACGATGCATCAACGATCGTCTGGATCTCTCTGAAAATGGTTTACGAACAATTTGCGGGATCGTTCCAGTTTTTGTCTCTACCACCGCTTCCATAATTGCGTTGGCCTCGTCAGGGTTGCACTTGACGTGGTTTTGACGTAATAGGCGATCTAAGGCGACGTCGAAATCCCATTCACAGGAGTCTTTCCTCCTATTCAGCGACCTGCACGATTCACAAGGTTCAAGATCAGATACCGATCCAGTATTTGAAGCACAAAATCGTTCGATCGCTAACTGTTTTTTCCTTTTGCGGGCTGCGAACCAGCGTCGGGGAAATTTTTTTCTGGCCACGAGGAACAAGTAATGGATGTATAAGACCAATTGAACGAGGGCAAAAAATGCACACAGAAAGAGCATGAACTGTATTCGAGTATCGGAGAAACCATCGTGCAACAGAATTGGAATCCAATCAGTACCATTGAACGGGAAATACTGGAACAATCCTCCCGAATAAGAGGTATTGCTCGTCTGCATTGATTCACAGGGTCTGTAATAGAGAATATATGAAAGTTAATGTGCTGTTTGATAATTTAAGCAAAACTGACAAGTATAAATAAAATCCTGCGATAATTTAATTAGTGGGCATCCATGCGTGTACTCTGATTGGCGTATGGGGTTAGCGACACTCGTGGACTATCCCCATGATACTTATCAAAGTGGGGTTTTTTGATGGATCTCAATTTCATCCTAGATAACTTTCCATCCACAACCACAGAAATCATTTGCCAGAGGTTCTAATTCTCACTATGAAATTTCCTTTCTTTTTCAATGCAAGATAACAACCCAATCGATTTTTGAATGATTAGCGTTGAGTTTATATTTTCGTACACAGTCTTCAGTCAATCAATCGTTCACTCAGAAAGCACTTCACTCTAACTTCGCTCTCAGCAGAACATATCACTGATGGAAATCGCGCATAGGAGCTCTGAACGAATCAAGTAGGGATGTTTATGGTACCACCAACCGGCCCACACCGGAAATGACCGCAACTGTCGAGTTGTGTTTTGTTCAGCCTGTCACATTTAGTTATATATGTGTAGTGTCAGACGTGTGATATATGTATATATGTGCCACCAAGGCAATAAGAAGCTAAACAATTTCTTTTTGTTGACACAAGTGGGCTATCATCGGTTGATATCAATCGCTTCAGTTAACCTTATCAATTTTGGGAATGTTGACTTGTAGACAATTGGGAACCCACCCCTTCAGTCAATCCGGGGTTGCATCATCGGAATATTTTCAGCTATGGATCATGACGGGTCTTGTTTCAATGCAGCGTACTTGACTTCAATTGCGTCTTCTGAATTTGGCTTGAATTTCGGTTACGAGTGAAGCCAGTGCCAACAAAAAGGACTTTAAAATAGTTTGTCCTTTCTTTGATTAAGTAATCCTCCTTTTATCCCTGTTCTTGTTTTTGCCTGTTTCACTGAATTTCATTTTGAGATAACAGTTCCGATAGATTCATTGGGAAGACAAAGATGGACGACGGTGATCCAGTCCTCAGGTCGTTAAAATAGCCGCATGGAGGTCCTGAGTTTGNGCCACTGCCGCTTATCTTCCCGTTATCTGTATTTATCCAGGGAGGCTTTGCATAGTCGCGGCCTCTTTCCCATAAGCTAATTGTACATTTTTATGATCAATAAACAAAAAGCCTACCTTCAATGCTGTGTTTTTGCCCTGAATTATGTAATTTGATGTAATTGGTCAGTTGATAGAGCAGTGAAAGCAAGCATGTTCGCAACATCTTTGTTTCGCCAATGAATCCATCAGAATTATTTACTTATTTGAAAACGCCAAGGATGCAACCGTAATGAGGAAACTGAATATGTGCATGCGGCTCCGTAAGCAACTGGCTCGAACGACCTTCACAATTCGTTGTTTGAATGATTACATCGTGAAACATGTCTATCTGAAACGTTTCTGCAACGAACTAGAGTTCGTCGCAATCACATCGAACTTTCACGTCTACCTTTTTATCGCCCAATGCCGAACGAACGAGACTCGTGGGTTACTCGTAAAGAAGAACTAGAGCGTAGACTGACACTGTGCACGAAAGAGCTACGTAACTTGACCGATGATGTGACTGATTGCATTATGTCTTATGTGGAACAAATTGAGAACGAAAGTTGCACAGGCCTGGTGATATTAGGAAGAAATTCCCCGTGAATCCTGAAACATGTATCCATAATCTTCTTCCTTTGAATTATAGTTTAAACTTTGTTTTCCACTATGGGATGTTAAGCAACTTCTCAAAGTTCATTTTGGAAATTTTTGTATTCAGTCGTTGCGTGCGTGTGACCCCGCCAGCTACACAGGCTTTTCACAGCCGTTGATCCAATCATGTGTGAAAGGTCAACGGGTAGAGGCCAGTCTCACAAAGCACGTCCTGTCTTCCTTCTTCTATTCACACTCGCCCCTGGAGAGGCACAGTGGTTTAGTCGTTGTCACCGGCGTGGACCCTATGGTTCAAGGTTCGAGCCTCGCCACCGCCACCCATCTTTGATGGTAGGCAGCTTTTCTATCGTCCGGTTCAGTAACACGCCTAACCTATCGGGGTCTTATATGGTTCACCATTCCAAGTCCCGGGACTTAGGTTACCGGTTTCCATTATAGAACGGCAGGTCCTCGTGATTATGGGATTGCCCCGCCTGCTGTTCATCACACGAAAAGTGTGTAATAAAAAAATTAAAACAATAGACACGGTGAGTGGCACTTTACCGGTCAAAAACCTCGCGAGATGGACGTAGGAGCGGGGTACCTGAGGCTTCCTCTCGACGGTGGGAGAAGTCCTCACACTTCACTGGACAGCTACCGCCCGACTAAGCTGGGCAGCTCCCATCCTACTTGGGTACATGAAGCTAAGGGCCGAGCCCGAAAAGTGAACCGACAATCAACGCACCAGCGAACAGTACACTTAACCAAAACCAAAAGGCCTTGCGTGACATGTTTCTAGAAGCTCCCACACGGGTGTTCTGCTCACACTACCTCGTTTGATTTATGCCCCACTGCCTTGTGAGTCAGACTTTCAAGTGGAAGGCTCCGGTAAGGGTTCTCAAATGTCTAGTTCTTCCTCTCAATTCCGAATATTCCCAGATGCCTCCTGTTTACCAGACCCATCGGATGTCACTCAGCGTTCAACTAATAAGGTTAACCACTCAGAGGCTATCAGATTTTGAATCCCAAATCCCCTTTTCACTTAGCTCCACTAAATGTANGTACGCACACTCTACCAGATCGGTCAACAAGCTGCCTTAGCTAGAACCCCTGAAACTTTCAATTTAGAACTGTTGAAACCTTCCATTTAGATGTATGCTGTATCTCCGAAACACGTATACAGGATCCTATTTCAATCATCTCCATACGTTCTCCAGATCCAACTTCACGCTTCATTCTCCGTGTATCAAGCGATTCGGCATCCGAAGTTCGCGGTGTTCTGGTGTTGCGATTGTGCTGTGTCAGGGCTGAGCGTTCACCTCTCGACTGGATCCCCGTTAGCAGCCGATTTTGCGCTGTACTTCTGGATGTTTTAGTACGCATCAACAGCTACAGAACAAAGCGGCGATGTTTGTTCATTGTATCTGCATATGCATCAACTGATTGCAATAACCCATAAGTGAAGGATGAATTCTACAACGACCTTTCTCCACTGCTCCAAAGTGATCAGTCAACGGACATCGCCGTAATCGTTGGAGACTTCAATGCTCAAAAGGGATCCCTGGACGAATAAGAAAGACTACTTGGTTCGTATGCAATCCCAGCCAACCGGACTGACAACGAAAAACGCCTACTCCAAATTGGAGCTGACCATGGACTGCTTCTGTCAAGCACAAACTTCTCGAACAAGAAACGACACCTCCGTAAATGGAGACTGCCAACCGCTTCAAAGTGCTGGACTCAAATTGGCCACATCGCCATCAGCCACCGCTGGCGTGGATCCATTGAGGACTGCCGCCCCTACTAGTCAACACCCGTGGACACGGACCATGCTCTGCTACGAGCTAGATTCTCCCCACGCCTAATAAACAACCGCAGAAAAGCCACCGAAAACGGATGCCCACAATATAGTATCAGCGACGGTTGCAACTCAGCCTTCAAAGCCCTTTAGCTCAATCATCAGCCGGGGGACTCAGTGAGCACAGGACTATAATCAAAGGGGCAATCCAAACGTCGATCCAAACAACGCAAGTTCTGGCGCACGATCAAATAAAAACGATGGATCTCCCCAACTTCGGTTGTCCCCTTGGAAGCTCTGAAAGCCATTCCTTGAGATTCAAAAAACGATAAAGCGCGCAACTTCGTTAAATGCCAACTCATCACGAGTCTGAGGAATGACCGCGAGAAGTTGTTGGTGGGGAAGTTTAGCGAGATGGAGATGGCTGTGGCTATCGGTAATAGTCGCAATCTTTTTCTTTTACTCAGGAGTACGAGTCCAAGGAGAGAAGGCGTAAGCTAGGTTATTAGGGCGTGTGAGGGCACACTAATTCAAATTCAGAAACGCCCTTTTGAACACTGAGCGGAATATGTTAAGGCACAGTTCACCTGGTTCTCTTTGACACAAGACCTTCCCCTGTTCTCTTAAACTGCCCAAATACTGTCAGTTGACTACAGTCCTCCATCTGAAACAGAGGTTACCTGGGAAATGAGTTATCCCGAATGGCATAAGGCTTTGGGACCCGATCGGGTGTCATCATCGGTCTTTAAGGATGAAGATCTAGCCTGGTTTTTAGAGTTAGCAAAACTCCTTCGCTCAGTGTAGGAGGAGTAACAGGTTCCAACTGAATGGTGTGAATAGGTGATCATACCGATCTACAAGAAGGGCGAATGATCCTCTTGTAAAAATCACCGAGGAATTAGTTTAATCGACATTGCCTCTAAACTTCTCGCCGGTATCATACTCCGTCGTTTGTCTGCCGCAAGTAAACGGTGTATGCGTGCTAACTTGCCTGGTTTCAGACCTGGTCAAGGTTGTATCGAAGACATCTTCACTCTTCGTCAAATTGTAGAACCCAAACACTCCTCTCCAGTTGTCTGTGAAGGATAGAGTATATGCTGCAACAGTTCGGCCAATGCTGCTCTACGGTGCAGAGACTTGGCCACTACGCGAACAGAATAAAAATAGATTGTCGGTGTTTGAACACCGCTGTCTACGACGCATTGCACGAATCCGGTTTGGCAACCGGACAAGCAATGTAGAGGTTAGGTGTGGAGTTTTAGGTAATTACGGTCGCCCATTGGAGTAAATAGTCGACCTCTATGTATTACGTTGGTTGGGGCATGTGTTACGCATGTCACCACCATGCCAGGTCTCCGTTTGACCACCCTTGACCCTTTTCCAACTGCTACCTGCCTCGACATATATTGCTCGCTAAGGCAACCTGTGCGGTGACATGCGTAACACATGCCCCAACCAACGTAATACATAGAGGTCGACTATTTACTCCAATGGGCGACCGTAATTACCTAA